ATTTTTTGGTTGCAGCCATCATTGTTGTTTGGCGGGCCCGGGCTGGGGATTCGAACCCGCCCCCTTAGGTGTATGTGGCTGGCGCCTTAGCCGCTTGAGCCACAGGCACCGAGCCCATGATTAGAAATCTTAATTACAAGTGTGATGCCCATCAGAGGTGGGACAGACAGATCCTGCACCAGTGTCTTTGCAGAAGTATTTTTGTGTAAGTTTGTGATGCCCTTTGTGCAAAGACTTGGGTATTGCAGAGACTCTGTTGTTAGTTTTTGTTATTAGGCCAACAAGCAGGACCTTCCCCAGCTCTATTTGCTATTATTGTTTTTTCACACTGTGACTCCATTTTGAGTCTGACAGCTATTACAAGAAGAATTTTCAATAAAGAAATTTTTTAACAAATGGAGGGTGTTGGAAATATTTAAATATATTTAAGAGTAAAATCCACCTTATATAATGTGTCTTCTCTCAGTAACAGCAACAATTGAAACAGTGTGAAAGATTTAGAAATTAACCATGTTTGCAAATTACACTTTCTCAGAGTCTGTGCTGTGTCTCATACTCACTTTCCCTGTGTGTTTCAAAAATAAAAAAGTGTATGTTGGGTCTCAGAAAACAGTACCCTAAATAAAGACCTCAGAAGCATCCTCAGAAGCAAATATATTCTTTGATTTCTGTCCTCCTGTCTCTCAATCCCTTTCTCCCTGGAGATTTGCCATTAAAATCGAAATCTCTCTTCCCATGGGGGATCATGAAAACAAGATATTATTTTCTTGAAAGGCAACTTTAAAATTTTATTTTTTCTATGTAAAAACCATATATAAAGAAAGCATCTGACTTACATTTATTGACTGTAGGGCCTAGGACCCCCCCAATTGAGAGAGCTTTCTGCCCTGCACCCAGAATGAAGGAATGAATGCTCAGACTAGGCAGGACAGGTCTTGCTGTGTTTCCCCATTCAGTCTATTAGCATTAGATTAGACCCCTTTTTTGTTCAATTATATTTCTGCATAGTTGTCCTAAGCACAAAAATAGATGATTTCCATTCTATGTTTGAGTTGATTTTGGTAGATAGTACGAGATGGAGTCTAGTTTCATTCTTCTGCATATAGATATCCAGTTTGCTCAGCACCATTTATTGAAGAGGGAGGGTGTCCATTAACAAATATGTGTTCTTGGAAAATATGTAAAAAACCACCAGGTTATGTAAGTACATGAATTTATTTCCAGTTTCTCTATTTTGTTCCATTTGACTATGAGTCTGTTTTAATACAACACCATACTGTTGTGATGAGTATTGTTTTACAGTATATTTAAAAATCAGGTAATGTGATTCCTCCAGCTTTCTTGTTTTTGCTCATGATTGCTTTGACTATGAGGGTCTTTTGTGCATGCCTATGAATTTTAGGATTTATTTTTATTTCTGCTAAGGATTTCACTGATGTCTTAGAATCATACTGTGCTTTGGGTAGAAACATAATTTTAATAGTACCAGTTCTTTTGATTCACCACCATGATGCATTTTTCTATTTTTGGTATGTTCTTGTATTTCTTTTATTTATTTACTTAATTTTTATTGTTGGGGATTCATTGTGGGTACAAAGAACCGCTCTTATATTTATTACATTAGTGCTTTTTATTTGTTGTTGTAGGGCTCTATTACTTCCCTGGTTCAATTTATTTTTAAGTTTTTTTGGTAGTTATTGTATGTATGAATGATTTCTTGATTTCTCTTGCAGCTAGTTTGTTATTAATGTATAGAAATACTATTGATTTTTCTATGTTGATTTTGTAACCTGAAATATTACTGAGTTTGTCTAATAGTTCTAAGAGACTTTTGGAGGCATCTTTAGGTTTCTCTGTATATAAAATTACTTTGTCCACAAAGAGGGTAATTTGACATTGAGTTTTCCAATTTGGATGCCGTTACTTTTTTCTCTTGCCTCATTGCTCAGGGTCAGACTTCTGATAACTCTGTGAAATTAGAGTTGTGAACATGAGCATATTTGCGTTGCTCCAGTTCTTAGAGAAAAGGTTTTCACTTTCCTCCCCATTCTGTATGGTGCTTGGTGTGGCTTTGTCCTATAAGGCCTTTATTACACAGAAGTATTATGTTTGGCTATGCCCAGTTTGTTGAGAATTTTTTATTATGGAGGGATATTGAATTTTGTGAAATGATATTCTTCATTTATTGAGATGATCATGTATTTTTTGCTTTTCATTCTGTTGGTGTGATGTATCACTTTTTTTGAATTATATTTTTTGAGTTATTCCTGTGGGCCCAGTGTTTCTATGTTGTTTCTGTCTAGATGATCTGACAAATGCTGGAAGTGTGGTGTTGAAGTTCCCACTCTCATTGTACTGGGGTCTGTCTCTTCTTTAACTCTAAAAATGTTTGCTTCATATATTAGGGTGCTCTGGCGATGAGTTTATATATGTTGAGAATTACTGTATTTTCTCACTAAATTAACCCCTTTATCTTTATATAAAGACCTTGTTCATCTTCCTATGTTTGTTGACTTAAAGTCTATCTTTTCTGATAGAAGTCTAGTTACTCTTTCATGCTTTTGAATTTCATTTGAGTGAAATATATTTTTTTAATCCTCATTTTCAGTCTATGAGTGTCTTCACAGTTATAGTGAGTTCCTTGTAGGGAGCCTATAGTTGAATTTATATTTATCATTCATTCAGCCAGTGTATACATATGTTTTTTAAATTTAGAATGTGTTTTATTTGCAGATTATATTTTTATATTTTGCATTCCTAATTATGAATTAATATAATTAATGAATTTATTATACTTATTTATTTCAGAATATTACTGGGATACAAATATTTTGGTTATATGAATTGCTTTTGTATAGTTTGAGTCAAAATCATAA